CTGGAACGCACAGAGATCCGCCTGCCTTTGCCTCCCAAGTGCTGGGATTAAAGGCGTGCACCACCACCACCCAGCTCCATGTCTCATCTCAAGCTGCTCATTCCCCACCTGGCAGAGCCCTTGCGCCCTAGGCAGCTCTGGATCTAGATCTTACCACCAGTGCAGGCTGCCACACTGGCTAGAACTGGGTGAAGGTGGCTTTTACTTTCTGACCCCTATCTTTGCAGAGGCTCCCATGATCACTAGCTATCCAAATGAGGGTCTTCTCTTCTTCCTTTCGGCCTTTAAGATGGATGGAGAAGGAAGACAGTAAGCGCCCACAAACCACCTGCCAAACACCTCTGCTGACCTGTGCCCACAAACAGGGAAAACAGCAGCTACTGCTGAAGGCAGATGTTCTTGATTTTGACCGGGTCTGATTCCAGGAACATGCTCACACTCACACAGTTATCAGCCCTGACTCAAAGCCTCTGGGGATCGAGCCCGTGCCTTCTGACCTGCTCAGCTCTAACCAGTAGTGTGATTATCCAAAAACAGGACATGGACTCTCCAGTCAATCTCACATTTGGAAATTGAAAATTAATAGCACTCATTTCCCCTGCATCTCTAGGACACCACCAATTTACAATGCATTACGAGCAGAGAAAATTGCCAAGTCAACTTGCAATGAAATCACTCACACACCGAAAGATAAATTAGTCATCCATGTTTAACTAAACCTTGAGACCTGCAGGTAACCTGTATATTCACAAGCCTGCTGGATTCCCCCCAGGCTTCCCAGAGCTCAGAAGCTGGGGACGGCTGAGGGAACCAGGCAGTGCAATCTCGAACGAGTGAATGTGTCACTCAACAGCACGTCTAGGAGCAGGGAGCCTTGGCATGGCCGGAGGGAGATCACAGAACAGAAACAGAGATAGAAGACACCCAATTACTGGGCCCAGTTCACTCATGGTATCTTCAGCTGTGCGGTCTTTGTGAGGAGAAAGCCAAGCGCTGCCTGCCTGGAGCATGATATATTCCAGAGGAAGTAATAAAGGACGACGGCCTGCAGAGAGCTATTTGTTCAGATTTGGCCCTGAAGCCACAGTGCAGGCTGGCTACCTCTTAAGGTGTCTATCACTCTCCAGATAGTGGGACTAACTGGAAGTCACAATTCGGAACTGGGAAGCCAGAGAATATTTCCCAGGTTAAAATGACATTTCCCAGAATAGAACTGCTGGTCCTGTACTCTACCAGGAAGAGGGGCAATTCTTGTCACAGTGGAGTCCTGCCCCACCCCAATGCCTCCTGGTGGGAGAGTCAGTCTGCAGAACTAATGATGCTCTCCTGAGGACATCTGGTTAAACCAGGACCACCAGGACCCTCGTCTGTTTCATTGCCTCACAGAATGTGAGCGTCACTGAGGTCAACTATATTTGGTTCTGCTCCCTCCCTGTCTACCTGGGTTTTAGTTGCTCTCCTACTCCAAGAATTCTCTGCTCAGAGTCCTATTTTCCTGTCACGTCACTACATCTTTCTTAGTCTGCTCCAACAGGACCAGTGACGACCCCTTCAGCAGTGCTACTTCCAAGAGGCAGGAAGTGGCACCTTCAGCTATTTCCCCTCAGAGTAGACATAGGAAGTTCCCTGGATTTCTCCATGTTCCTCACCTTCCCAATCAGTTGGACACAAAATGTTTCTCTCACTGTCCCCATTGCCTATTCCAGCCCTGACCTCCACCATTGCTCCGCACTGGGTTAGCCACAGAAGGCTCCTAATTTGTCCCCCCAGCTTACTCTCTACAACCTCCCAATCCAGCAGTCACAGTGAATTGGACATTGGGTCAAGTCACTTTCTTGTGTGGCCACTTCTGGGGCTCCTGGTGGCTCTGTTGGCTGAGCCTAAGTCTGTGGTTTAAGTGGCCTGAGGAATGAACTCATGGTCTTCCTGCTCTGGTCCTGCTGTCCCTGCCTCTCTTAACCTCAATGTCCCTAGCACCATCGCCTGGCCCATGTCTCCCTCACATCTCAGCTTTAAGGTTATTTCTTTCCCAAGGTCTTCCAGCCCAGTGCCGTCTCCCCTTGATCGTAAGAGCATAAAGGAGGACCGTGAGCCCTCAGCATGGAATGCAGCCCGCTACCTGCTTGAAGGATGCTCTCATTATGTAGGTATTGATGGACTCTCATAACCCTCTTGCTGCTTTTTGTAAACTGCAGTTTTTCCATCTGTGAAATGGCAAAATGAAGCTCAGCTCCTGGCATCATTGCATGGAATAAGATATCAGTAAAGCATAGCTCACAGCTACTGGCATGTCACAGGGACTCATATCCCAACTGTCTGCATGATATGTTGGGTTTTATTGTTATGCTTTATTTTTAAGCCCGAGGAGATGCTGATGATATAAAGAATAACATCTCCCCTCATTTATTTTATAGCTGTGCCAATAGAAGGCCAAGAGACTGGGGTTTCAGTTTCTATCTGCCTTCTCCTAGTTGGATAAGCCGTGCTATGGGTGGGTGAGTGGTATGACTTACCGGCACCCACGTTCCCAGCCTTGTTGTAGGTTGTACATAGCAATTGTTCCAAATATATTTATGGAAAGCAAGCATGAATGATTGATTGAGCACGTTGCTTACAAAGTCCCGAGTCAAATGCTACACTAAGTGGTAGGATTGGGGTTTGGAGCTAGGCTGCTATATTACAGAATCGGTTCTATGCTGGGAGGGTTGGTGGGGAGCAGCCTCCTTGGAGAGACTGGGCTTGTGGGGAGCCAGCACTAATGAATGCAGCTAATAAACCTGGTCAGGCCTTCACCTGAAATGGAAGCCCCTTCAGTGACACAGAGAGCAGCTGGCCCAGCAGTTCAGGATGGAGGGGGCAGAGAGTGAGGCTCTGGCCTTCATTAGCTTTGGTGTGAGAACAGTGGCCATGTGGGAGGACTGCAGAGCAGCCTGCCTCGGGTCACATGTGCAGCCACTGG